CAAAATGACAAACATAAAACAGAACGATGGGTAAGAAAGAAGATGTATCTGTTGAATTCGGATGCAGCCATAGATGGATCATAGAACGCATGGTCAAGTTAGCCGCTAATGCTAAAGCTAACATGTCACAGATGTCAAACTTGATTCGTGAAGTATTTGTTATCCATTAACTGTGTGAGGCAATCTATTTACATGGACACTATAGGACATCATTGCATCCGCTCTGTTGGCGATTAAGTAGACTGCAGTGTATTTATTTAATTAGCTTTATAGTTTTATCAGCATTACTTGTAGTTACTCCGCACGGATAAGTCAGATCTGATTAGGTACCATGATCAAATTGACGTAACATTTATTTGTCATTGTACTTTTGCACAAGCTCTCCACTCCTTGACGAACTTCTATCTTCCAGACACATACTTGTTTAAACTTGTTCAGTCAATGGTGATTTCCTGTGTTGTGCTTTGTTGCATAATGTCACTAATTTCCTGCAAAAGTACAACCCAAATGATAAGGCAGGACTGTAGTCTTGTTGAAAAATCTAAATGATAAATAGAGGCTATGATGCTTGCCTTGGTATCTCTGGATTTGTTTTTTGCTAGTATTTGTTTTTTTTACTATTATAACATTTATGGTTGTAGTTAGCGTGCCATTAGGCTCACTATTTGTTGTGTTGTAAAGTTTTGTCATTGTTCCCCCAACTTTCCCTTCATCAACAATAATTAAAAGACTACATTGATTTTCCTTCCATCTTGTGCTTGTGTCATTGGTATACAGGCATGTTACTGTTTATCTTAATATTTACAGTCTATGATCTCAATATACAATCCGTGCTACTGCGTTCTTAAAAAGAAAAAAAATAAACCCCTTGAACAATAAAAGAGGGGCTAAAATCAGGAACAGTAAATGGATGAATCAAAAATAATGTTACAAACAATTTTTCATATTTATAGAAACACTTTGCTTTGAATGGTATACTGTCTGTAAATGTAAGGCCGTTGTAACAATAGAATGTAATTATTATTTTTATCTGTCACTTTAGTTTAGCCCTCACTAATCAACAACTAATCAAGTGCTAATTAGTGTATAAATTATGGTCCCTGCTTCTACTCATTCGAACTTCTTAAACTACAATACCAACTACTCATCATTATTAGTTACAAACATTTAATCCCACACAGCAATCTTTTATAGTAGGTTCAGTTTGTGTTGCTATTTTTAATGGACAAATGGCTCCTATGTGTTTGTTAGTGCATTTCCGGAGCTTGAACTGTTTTATTCTCCTTTGATCCATCTGTTGTTGGTGATCTACAACTTTAATTCCTCAGAGGCGACTGTTATGTGTGTTAGGATACACTTATTAGCATGTGGGGGATGTAGGCGGAGGCTTCTCGACCAATAACAGCCGAGCAGGAACCGCAAAACTTTGTGGGAAATGCAAAAACAACAACCGCAGCATGCGTAGCGTCCATGGATCTATAGCTCGTGTTTCAATGCCGTGTCAATGGTTATGCACGTACGTGCGCGGAATAACATGTGCGGCGGCAGAGGCAGTGGACAGACACGATGTATTCGGCGAAAGCAAGAGATTAACTTTTTCCTTGGGAAGCATGTGCGGCACAGAGAGCCACACGGAGCGGTCACGGGGACACAAGACCCTCAAACAGCTAAACCAGGAGCTAAACCAGGAATAAAAAAACAGGATTAAACCAGGACTAACAACGAGGGACACAGTGTGAACATATTTCTCCAGCCTCATCGCCCCGTGACTGTAAACAAGGCTGCTAAGGTTGGTTAGCCCACACGACAAATATATTTATTTAGGTAAAAAAAAAAACTCTATATATATCGTTATCGACCGATATGAATGACTTATATCGTGATATAGTTTTCAGCCATATCGCCCAGCCCTACATTAAATCACAATATCTCTCAGAATAATCTCAATTCAATATTTTTCCCAAATTCTGCAGCCCCACATTTTGGGATCTGACTTGGTCTATACCAGATTACTCCACTTATTTAACTAATCAGTCATTGTTTTTCTTTTCATTGTAAGACCACAGAATTTAGAGTATTCTTAAATTTCAACATGGCCTCTATCAATTAGTCAAGTTGCAGTTCAAACCAAGTATTTTGTTCAGAACATATCAAATTATCGAAAAAGACAGGGTAAGGAGTGCTGCGTGGTACAAGCGTTTAAAATGATTTAAAAGACCAAGGTTCTCACTTGGTTCTCACTTAAGGGGTTTAACTTAATGACCAAAAATTGAGTTTTTACTTTCCAGGTAAAAGGCAAATTATGAATATCTTAGAAAATCAAAAAATCCAAGGCACTCGTGGTCAATAGTTTAGAAAGTTCAAAAAGCCTTTATTTTCTCATGGCTGTAAATTAAAATACGCACCAACGCGTTTCAGCCTAGCTTGGCCTTCTTCAGTGCAAATCCATATCCAAATATCATGTTAAATAAAATGAAATGACTTGGGAAATAAAGTTGACACCTGCTTTTATAGCATGTATTGTAGTTTATAGCAGTGCCCTTGTTTTTACCACTGAACTCTACCATTGAAACCCTCTCCCCTCCCCATGGCCCTGTGTTGATAGTGTTGTTGTGTGTTGTTGCAGGCCCCTCGTCTGGCGGAGCAGTACTGTGTGTGTCACTTGGCCACAGGAGACATGCTGCGGGCCATGGTGGCTTCAGGCTCCGAGCTCGGAAAGAGACTCAAGGAGACCATGGACGCCGGGAAACTGGTAACGGCAACTCTGAACTCTGGCATCGGGGGTATTTGTCTGGACGTCTCTCTGCTGCGCTCATGTAAAAACACTGCTCCAGGAAATGACCAATGAAGCGGAGGAGCTGAGACCCACTCAGAGGCAGAACAAACAACCAGAATATTATGTAGAATTTACAACAATCACAAAACATTCTACAACATGAAACTACGCAGTAATGGCGGCTGATTATCAACCTTCAGTTTCACATTGTAATCATCAGTCTTTAAAGCTTGGGTCTGTTTTTATAATTAATAACAATGTCCCAAATGAAAGACACTAAAAGTAACATTTATTTGTAAATTTCTATACCCTTTTATGCTGATCTAAAGCTGTGACAGAGGGCAGAAATGTATACATGGAAAACTTGTGATAGAACCAAACTGTTTTAGAGCGGGAACTGAATTTTTCAACATGGCTGCATTTTAAGGGCTGTGAAAGTTGTGTACCCCAGCTTTAACATGCTGTGTAGCTATAATCTGGTGTAGAACATATCTGTATCTCGCTGTGCACTGTCCTTTTCAATCAAAGTCCCTTTTAAAGCTGGCCTCAACTATAAAACTACCAATTACCTTATAATCCACATTCACAGATGGTGCGCCCAAAGCCTGCCTTTTATTGGATATTTAGAGATGTTAAAACATCAATCTCGTTGTTAAGAGGAAAAATCATTTGATATTTTTTTTTATGGATAAACATGTGTTTGTGTTTCCGCAGGTGAGCGACGCGATGGTGGTGGAGCTCATCGAGAAGAACTTGGACACTCCTCCCTGCCGCAAAGGATTCCTATTGGACGGATTTCCCCGAACAGTGAAACAGGCGGAAATGGTCAGTGATAGATCTGTCTCATTGTTCAGCAGTTAAATCATGTTCTGGGCTTTTCTGTCTGATTTACCATCTGAGGGGTAGGAATGCTTTTTGTACTTTTTACCTCTGACGTAAGAATACGTCAGAGGGGCGACAGTAGCTCAGTTGGTAGAGCATTAGCCTTCAGGCCTGAAGGTCGTGGGTTCAATTCCCACCTTTACACCTTCTCCACCGACTCCCACTGATGACTGCTGTCGTTGTGTCCTTGGGCAAGACACTTAACCCCACTTTGCCCAAAGCCCCCACTGAAAGATCAAGGCTATGCTCACACTCAAAGAGCAGCCGTCCTCCTGTGGACTCACCACCTGCAGAGGGTCAGTGAGGGGCTGGTGCTATGAGACTTGGGTGGCATCTCTGATTGCCACCCCCCTGACCCAGAAATGGATTAAAGGGTAGAAAATGGATGGATGGATGGACGTAAGAATACCTTGAGTATCTAAGAAGGTGGCTAAAAACTAAAATTTATTATTATTGTTATTATTTATTGTTGGTTTGACGAAACGGCTCAAATGATTGGTCTTGGTGTCGATGCTGTTATTAATCTTTGTTTAGGACACGATACGTTACGGTCCGTTGGTTAAAAAAAAAAAGTACAATGCAGAAGGAACTTGTGCAACTTGAAGTTGCATTTTCTTAGATTTGCTTAGAAGGTTCGTGTGATGATGATAAAACGTACACGTGTAAAGAAGCTAGTACTGCTTTATTACTTTGTTAAAAGAATCTTCTAAGCCTTAAAGGAATAGTTCACCGTTTTTACATACTGACATATGTTCTTACCTTACCTTAGACTAGTTAATACGTACCTGTGTGATCTTAGTCCGTGCGCTCTGTCATGCTAACGGAGCAAAAACGGGAGGACAAATGCAGCCTCCTCTGTATACTGTGTAGCACCAAAAGGTAGCTCCCGCTAGAAGCTACCAAACTCTTCCAAGTGTTCCCTATTAAATGTATATAGTTACGTGACGTGTTACACTGCAAAGTATAGTAACACAGAAATGTAACTGTCGATTTTCTCAGCGGATAAAACGGGTACTATATTGTGAGGCGTAGTAATCTGAGGTGCGCTACGTCCGCGCACTAACTTCTCTCTGTACTACAAGTCACGCTGCTTCTATTGACTGAAGTGAGCGAGAGAGAAGTCTCCGGACAGAAGTTAGTGCGCGGACGTAGCGCACCTCAGATTACTACGCCTCACAATATAGTACCCGTTTTATCCGCTGAGAAAATCGACAGTTACATTTCTGTGTTACTATACTTTGCAGTGTAACACGTCACGTAACTATATACATTTAATAGGGAACACTTGGAAGAGTTTGGTAGCTTCTAGCGGGAGCTACCTTTTGGTGCTACACAGTATACAGAGGAGGCTGCATTTGTGCTCCCGTTTTTGCTCCGTTTGCATGACAGAGCGCACGGACTAAGATCACACAGGTACGTATTAACTAGTCTAAGGTAAGGTAAGAACATATGTCAGTATGTAAAAACGGTGAACTATTCCTTTTAAACATAAGGAGACATGATGAACTTTATACATTTGAGTTGAGTGTTCAATATACATCAAACATAATCAAATATCACGACATGTAATATTCTAACACATCATTCATTAAAGGGGCTGGTTCTATGAGACCCCCTGACCCAGAAATGGATTAAAGGGTAGAAAATGGATGGATGGATGGATCATTCATTACAATTATATTATAATACTAAATATAATTCAAACTCGAAAAGAAGTGAGGAAGAACAACCTGAATTCCCCATCGCTCTGAATATCATAGATTTGCACTTTCATTTTCTTGTAGCATGCAACGAGTTTCAAAAAACAAACTTTGTGAATGGAGATAAGTCTATAATGTGACGTAAAGCTGGAGTACCTAACTTTCAGAGCCATAATAAATGAACTATGTAATAAGGGTTGCCTTCCATCAGTAGTTTTCAAATGCAGTTACTATAAGTTTGGTCTCTTTCACTAAACAAATATATTCTAAAAGTACCAGACCTCACTCGGCCCTCACTCGGCCAATCAGCTCTCTGTACGGAACAGATCAAATGTTTCCTAATACGGTGAAGACTGTTCTGATTAGTTCCCCAATTTTCACTTTAACCCTCTATGCACATGGGTCATTTTGGGGAACTTTCCTCGCCTGGTTTTCTTTTTGTATAATTGTTCATAAAACAGTCTTTTGATGCAGAGTCAAGTAGTATACTTTGTCTTTTTCAGTACAACCTGGGGTTTTAGAATATTCATATTGTAAAGCTGTCATATGAATTATATAAAAATTATGGAATCATGAAGACAAAGAAAAAAATCAAACGGAAAATCAATTTTACAAAAATGTATTGAAAAATCACAATGAAATGCTATAAACAACTTTTTACACTGCATAGAAATGTTATTTAGGGACTTGGGGATAATGGGGAAAAAAATTGAATCTCTAACTATTATACTTTTTACAAAATTCCACTATAAAAGCAAAAATCTCTGTACTCCTGATGCCCTTCCTGAAGCAGTTTGTCTATAATGCTGGGGTTGCTTCTGTAGCATAGCTGTAAAAAACGTAAAGCATAAAGCCTAGCGTACATCGGACTGGCAACTGATTATATCCGTCGCATATGAGTTGCTGCCCCGCACACATCGACAATCTGATGAAAACGGGAAACTCCTAGAAGCAGAACAGTCTCGGGAATAACAGCGCGTACATCGACAGCAACTGGCCTCAACTACAGTGTGTTTTCTGACATAAACTGTAGAGGGCGCAATACACGCAACACACACATGTTGTCGGAGCGGCGCATGGAGCGCGCACATCGGGTCATATCTCCCAAACTGAGGACAACTAGTTGCCGAAAAGTAGAACACGGGCAACTGACTGAAACTGGAGACCGACTGATCATCTCCAGTTGTAAGAGCGCTCACATCGACCGATTTCGGCAACTGATCATCTCCATCATCTACTCTCAGTCGCCAAAAGCCGCCTTGCAACTAGTCTCCAGTTACTCTGTCCATGTACGCTAGGCTTAAGAAACTTAGACAACAACAAAAGCATCAATTATTTATATAATACATATATTTATATACATCATATACACATAATGTCATTTTACTGTATTTATTATCGTCTTTATCAATAATGCGCACTCTTCAGCCGGTTGTTGCAATCGCAGCTGTAGTTTCAACTGTGGGAGAACAAGTAAACGCAGAGTGAGACATCTCACTCTCTGACGATCTTTGGCAGTCCCCGTGTGTTTGTATCTCACAGCTGTTTGTACCTCACGGGTCACGCTTTGGACACGGACTTTCAGACAAGCGTAGTTTATCCTCCGTGCATCGCACAGACAAATCAAGTTTCGGAAAGCCCTGAATACGTACTTCACAGAGGAAAAAAAAAAGTAAGTTGCTACGTTTTACAGTTCGCGAGTAAATTGATCATTTGTAAAACATGTGCGCATGCATCGGCACCGATGCAGACGGGTTCATAGGGTTAAACCCAAATGTATTTCATAAACAAAATAAGTTAGGCTCTCCAGCTTTTGCCTCATGAACACTAATTTTCCTTCTAAAATTCTCACTGATTTTGCTCTTACTGTGTTTTTTTTATATTCATATTTTTTTGTCTATTAATGTCACGGTCTGTTTCTAGATCCCTATATTCGAGTTTAGTTTTGACATGTTCTAATTTGGATCCCGATAATGAGCAGTGATGTAGTGCCCTCTCTCTGCTCTCAGCTGGACAGTCTTCTGGACAAGAGGCAGGAGAAGCTGGACTCAGTGGTGGAGTTTGCGGTCAACGATTCTCTGTTGGTTCGCAGGATCTGTGGAAGGTACGTGGATTATAGCCCAGACTTTAACCTTTTTCCTCTGTCTCGGGGCTCTCTGTCTCTCTCTCTCTCATTGCCCTAGTTTGTTGTTGTTTTGTTGGTCTCTTTACCTCTTTACACCCACCGGCGCGCCGTTTTTATGTTTTTAAATGTTCTGCTGGCAATAGCAGATGTATTTTGAACACCAAACCCCAAAAGCTGTATATCATTTTAAAGCTTATTTTCTTATCTACATTTATATACAAGTATAAACTACATCAGACTTTGAATTACACATAATTTGGGCACAAAAATCAATTCCGAAATAGTTTTTTACCTTTGGGCTTGTGCTGTACAAATAAATCAGCTCTCCTCCCAGCTTGCAATACATCATTCTCTCTGGAACAGTCCAAAGGAAAATTATATCCACTTGTATTTCCCAAAGTAAAATCCATTCTGCAGAAATAATCCAAAAATGTGCATTTATCTTTAGCGGAAAAAAAGAGCACAGATGTTGGTCTTTCACTTTTAACGGACTTTTAGCTTTGTTTTTCACCCGAACATCTGGTATCTACGTGTTCCTTAGCTCCTTATCTTTCAAATGAGACTACTCGCGAAAAGCTAGACCAATTTTTGGGTCTGCAAGAACTCCCGTGAGTACAGCTAGCGCTGCTGTTTGCGCATGGATCACTGATCTTTGTTGTGTTCCCAACTTGTTTGCATTTACTTCCGGGATTTTTGATTGACATGTCCGTGTAGCCAATGAGGAAAGCTTTCGAGCAAGGGGTGGGACAATGGTGTCCTGTCTTATGTTGTGCCTGTAGAATTGTGCGTAATGGCAGCCAAAAGACGCTCTCGAAGCTGCAATGAATTTACACTCATAAAACATTTAATAAAAACAAAACACATAGATTAGTAACTTATAAGTACCAATAATAAAAAATATTGTTTTTATGATGATTAAATGTCAGTAAAGATATTTGGCACAATTTGGCACACTTGTGCCAAATGTGCACTACTTGATGAAAAGGAGAAACTGCATAAAAACTATAAAACTTAGAAGTCTGAAACTTTAGACAGTTGTTGTCAACAACACAATGACCACAGGGTTTGAATATTGTGAACTTACAATGAAGTATGCCTTTTTTAGGGCCTTTTAGAAATTGAAAATGTTAGGCGAGGCTAAAAAAATTGGGTTTTTTCCCAAACTTCAAAGGATGCAGAGGGAAATAGGAATGACAAACATTATTTTAGTGTTCTTTTTACATAAACTAGAAGGCTCTAGCTTTAAAATGATGCATCACACAAGCATGTGAGATGTAAGATGTGTTTTTAAATAAGCAAAGACATTGAGGTATGCCCAACTTTTGTGCACGAGCCAAAATGAGGCAGGTGTTAAGAGGTTAATAGTCCGTGCACCCGTACCAACTTGTGACCCTTGAGCTTAACATTATGTAAAATGTTAAGCTTCTACTGCTTTGTTCCCTCGTCGTAAACGGAGCTGGAGTCACTACATCAGAGAAGTCAAACCGCTTCCACGGAGGGCTGGGGTAGCTGCAGGTTTTCATTCCAACCAAGCAGGAGCACACCAGCTGGACTTGCTTGAGGAATTGGGTGGAGTCTGTGTGCTCCTGCTTGGCTGGAATGAAGAATCAGTTTGACATACCTGATCGAAAGGCTCAATTTTCAAACTAGGCAGTGACAACCGTAACTCTATGGCACCATGAGGTATTTTAGACTTAAATGTTTTTGGGGAATATTCACAAATCTAGGCCCTAGTTACATTGAAGGAGGATACATTTCCGTATGGGGCCAATGTCGAATACAATGTCATTTACTGACTTCTAAACATTTGCTTCAGGTTATTTTTATTTTTTTATTTTTTTTTACAAACGTGCACCAAACGACCAATATCCTTTTCATCTTCTAAGTATTGTTGTTTCTGGGGCCACTTTGAAAACTCAGGACATCCTTGGAAATCCTTTGTTTTAAAGTGTATTTTTAAATCGTGCCCTTTTTTTTTTTAACATTCTGTTTATTAGGTTTTCACAAATTTATACAGTTTGGCAATCCAACAGAAAGTACAGATCACTTAAAAGCACTGTATTAGATGTATATATCCCGTTAGATATATATGTATATATGTTAGGTTATACAGAGAAAAAAAAACAAAGGAACGTTCACACAGACTATATAGTAAAAAAAAAAAACATGCGGACAATTAAAGTGGATTAATGTGGATTAATGTGGACATACTATTAAAACAAAAAAGTGTAGTTCAAGTTCCCATTTTAAACAGGGTAATAAAGGATGCCCATGTCCTGGTAAATGTATCTTCATGACCTTGTAAGGAATACCTGATCTTCTCCAGATCTAAGTGCATCATTACATCTCTTAACCAATGCACATGAGAGGGGGGCTCTGCCTCCTTCCAATTTAATAAAATCAGTCTTCGTGCAAGTAAGCACCCAAATTGTAGAACAGTGCGCTCTGACTGTCTTGTAATTAAATTTCAATCTACAATTCCAAGTACTGCTGTGAGAGGATTCATGCCAATAGTTTTGTGAATAGCTTTTGATAATATTGAGAAAATATTTGACCAAAAAGTGTATAGCTCAGAGCAACCCCAGAACATGTGTGACAGAGAAGCTGGTGCTTGATTACAGCGCGTACACACAGGGTCCACATCAGGAAAGATCTTACTCAATCGAAGTCTTGACCAGTGGATCCTGTGTATGATCTTAAACTGAATTAAACCGTGACGAGCACAGATGGAGGTTGAGTGGGTACAAGTGCTTGTGCGAGTGCTTGTTCCCAGTGCTCCTCAGTGATAGCAATACCCAAGTTCCTCCTCCCAGGCCTGCCTCAGGTGTTGCAAAGTACCAGAACCATCAAACTCAGACAATTTATTATAAAGCTTAGAGATTCCTCCTTTAGAAGAAGGGTTATCTAAAAAAAAATGTATCAATAGGTTTTGGTGTCGGAGCCCTAGGATAGTTAGCATTGTTCTGTTTAACAAAATGACGAACCTGCAAATATTTAAAAAAGTGACAGTTGCGTAAGTCAAATTTTTCCTTAAGTGTTTCAAATGAAGGAAAATAAATCGTGCCCTTCTAACAGCTTCAAGGCTTCTCTGCACACAGCTGCTGCTATTGATTCAGTTATTGACACGTGACCCCAAGCTTCAGCCAGACTCACTGGCCTGACTTTTTTATCAGAGAACTCTGAGAATGAATTTGACATGTTTCTGTGTTAATGTGAATGTAGTTACTTTTTCAATTGTACAGATAGTTGTCCCCCCAGGTAGATTTAGATTCATTCATTTTATCATTTGCAGTAAAATCTCATTGGCATAAATATTGCAAAAGTCCCCAGTGTGAAACAGACGAGTACATCAATAGAACAAGGTCAAAAGTACAGAAATAAAACTAAAGTGCATAACACGTATGACACTGAATCAACTGAAACAGTTTCGATACAGTGAGCACCGTTCAGACCCCCGGATCTCGCACCTACTGCTTCCTTATTGGACGGAACACATTTATATTCTTGACATAAAATTCTTTTGGCCAAACTAGTACGACCTCCACCAGTAAGATAAGTTTTAAAATTGTTTTACTCTATACAGTCCCTCACTTGAATTACTTTATGGGATATTATTTGATCATATGGTCAAATATTTGGTAGACTTTGCTTGTTTAAGTCTATTCTGTCATCTCCTGAAAAAAATGCAGCTTCTTTGGACTTTTTGTCTTTTAAAAATATCCAACTCATCAGTGGATAAACAGTTTTCTGATCAAGCCCCAAATGAGGGATGATAATCTCTCACGATGGCAGACACCATTTTGTGGCAGCTCAATGTTGCCTGAACTTGTGGCAGAACTATCTTGTCTCGGCGAGAGAGAACATGTTTTTGAGAGAGAACACCTTGTTGCTGCAATTATCACAAATACTGCAATCATTAAGATTAATTTCCTTCACCAACGGATATTGCAGAAGACTTGCTAGGGCTGTTTTAGATGCAAATGTGAAAAAGGACAAAGAGCCCTTAAATAAACGGCTTTTCTCTGGTACATTTTGTGACTAATGGAAAAGGCAAGTCCAGTCTTATCAAATTTGTTAAAGTGCAGCGACTTTAAGAATTTCCTTGTGTGGGGAAGCTAACCAAAGAGTCAAGCAGACAAGGAAAAGTTCCCAAAAAACATTTATTTAAAAAAATGACCAAAGATGAAACATGGCAAAATATATAGATACAAAATATACAAAAAACTGCTTCATAATAAAACTGGTCAAATTCTAAAGCAAATTATTTAATCTAATAATAATAATAATAATAAACAACCAAACCCAGGGATTGTTCAAGTGTCCAGTTTTATTAACAAATAAAACTAATATTAAAAAAAAAAAGATAAATTATAGGACAAAGTGGCCTGCTTTTTCACACCTTGTAATTTCATTTTAACCGTGAAAATGCAACGAATGCAACCTCACACATTGACAGATTTCAGTTTTCTCCCACTGCACTCTTTTTTCAATGACAAGGTTCAAGGCATCAAAAACGCCATTGTCTCCAATCCACAGATAACCATCCAAGAGCCAGAAAGGCTCTTTGAGCTAACTCACTTTGCACCTGTAGATGATCAAACTGTCCAAGAGATAATCTCCAGTAAACATGTCCCTTCATTCTGGAATATTCCCAAAGGCCCTGAAAACTGCAGTCATCAGGCCCCTGCTGAAAAAGAGCAGCCTAGATGCTACGGTACTTAACAACTACCGTCCCATCTCAAATATGCCATTTATGGGGAAAGTCCTTGAAGTTAGACTACTGCAATGGCCTGCTCACAGGTCTGTCCAAACAGGCTGTAAAACAGCTGCAGTACATTCAAAATGCAGCAGCTCGAGTCCTGACTAGAACCAGGAAGTACGACCACATTAGTCCTGACTAGAACCAGGAAGTACGACCACATTAGTCCTGACTAGAACCAGGAAGTACGACCACATTAGTCCAGTTCTCAGGTCTCTGCACTGGCTTCCTGTGGCTCAGAGAATAGACTTTAAAACAGCTCTGCTTGTTACAAATCTCTCCATGGCCTCGCACCAAAATATATTAGTGACATGTTAGTCCCATATGAACCAGCCCGGACTCTGAGGAGCACAGGGACTGGACTCCTGTTAGTGCCCAGAGTCAGGACTAAACATGGGGAGGCTGCTTTTCAGATTCATGCTGCTAAAATCTGGAACAATCTTCCTGAAGATGTGAGACGGGCCTCCTCTGACAATGTTTAAAACCAGGTTAAAGACAGTTCTGTTTAGCTGTGCATACAACTGAGGGATTTTATAAATGTATCTTTCCTTTTAATGTTTTGTGATTTATTTATGATTTTAATGCTTTATTTTGTTCAGCACTTTGAGTTGCATTGTGTATGAATTGTGCTATACAAATAAACTTACCTTGCCTTGCCACTCGTCATAAGGGGTGAACAGTGCAGTGGTTAGCACTTGTACCTCACAGTAAGAAGGTCCTGGGTTTGATTCCTCCGCCAGGCCTTTCTCTGTGGAAAGTCTATTCTCTCTCTCTTTCTCAAAGGAGTCCTGGACAAAAGTTGCCTACAGTTACATACAATTAGATTATATAAAATTTCATAAAATTTCCGATTATAAAAAGTCACATTTCATTTAGGATGTCTCAGTCCCTCAATCTGGAGCTAAAGGCATTCAGTGAAATAAGTTCACCTAATTTCCAGTCTTTTTGCAACACGTTCCTTGTAGAAGGAGCAGAATGGTCAAACGTTTTTTTCCCAGTTCTGTGCAAAAGAAACAGAGCAACAAAAGATCATTGGATCCAAACCATATGAACATGTCTTTGTGTGAGTAAATGGCAGATGTAAGAGGGCAGCAGACCAAGCATAGCCTTATAAACAAAAGTGCACCAGTATAAAACAATCTTTAACATGCGCAAAACACATCTCAAGGTACTAGGTCTGGCATGTGCCTCCTGTACGACGACCCCGCTCCCATCTCTGTGTGGGCGCTAACGATTGTATGGTGCTTTGTGAGTCTGGTCTGTGTAAAGGCGCTACATAAATAAAGATGACTTCCTTACAGCTGTGACCCCTGGTGCTGGTCTGAGGAGGGAATGGAAATGACTGATGCACCAAAACTGTAAAGTGCTTTGTTTGACCTTGGTCTGTGAAAAGCAGTGTAAATGCATTTCTTACTTTCTCTTCATGTTGTCATCTCGCTAATCTATTGAGACCAAAATACATCTCCTGTGCCGAAGTGCGACCGGCTTCAGTCTGTAGTGAGTCATCCGGCTGTTTGTCGACCTCACCGCTGCCCTCGCTCTCCTCCAAAACACGTAACCTCTGTTTTATCTCATCTCCAGGCTGATCCATCAACCCAGCGGCCGCTCCTACCATGAGGAGTTCAACCCGCCCAAAGAGCCCATGAAGGATGACGTGAGTACTTTCAATATCATTCCATTTATGCCATTGCCACTGCTGCTGCCGCTGCAAACCTGAGGCCACTGCGGAGCTATTATCAGCCAGTGACTCATTCCTGTGTAAAACTGAGGACAGCGAAGGAGCTGACATTTTTTCATATAATACTGAGTAAATTAAATTTGAAATAAGTTGCAAGAGAAGTCTTAAGGGCAAATTGAAACTGCAGCAGCTGGCTTGTTATAATAAATATCCATTCATTGGTAAATGCCTCGTCTTGAGATGTTCCGTTCTGGACAAACTTCATGAGTCACTGACATTGACAGAGATCATATAATGTCATAAGACGTTTTTAATGCGATCTTAAGTAAAACTCTGGGACAAGAGACTGTTTTAGTGCCCCCAGACTTGAAGCATTGAGGGTATTGGGTTTCCATGGCATGTTACACCTTATTTTAAAGCGAATGTTCTCGTATGCACCAAACACAAGTGTCTAAATATAAGAAATACATCATACATGGCACTAGTTGTGAACGTGGTTGTAAAAAATGTATTCACACACACACTCATGAATAAATGACTCCTAGGCAATGCGGATGAAGTGTCTTTCCAAAGGACACAACAACTGTTTGCACTTTTTGGCTCCATCTGTGGCATTTACGGTTCCCAGAGGTCTCCCATCAGAGTAGTAACCAGGCCCTGCCCTGCTCAGCTTCAGAGGTCTGACTGGATCTGGCTTCACCTGCAGGTGGTGTCCCCAGTCTGATCACTTTCAGGGCCGAAAGTTTAAAAGTTATTGTTTTTAATCCCTCCATCCAAGAAATACTGTGCAGATGTGAGTGTTCATTGTTTAACTGAGGATCTCTGCTCCACGTTGAGTTGTTTACAGCGGCAAAACTTCCCCTTGTAAAGCTTATGGGTAATGTAGTCTAGGGATGTACCGATCCGATATTCAGTATCGGTATCGGGGGCCAATATGGGTATTTTGTAAGGTATCCGGTATAATATCGGATTTGTTAAATATGAAGCCGATTTACGTCACTTTTCAGCATGCTCACGCTTTACGGCTGCCGTAAACTAAACACAATGTAAAACTAGGGCTGGGCGATAAAACGACAACGAGAGATATTGCGATAGACACGTGTTCGATATCAAAAGAAAACGGGGTCGATAGAATGTTAGTTTAATGAAAACACAGGAAGTAAAGCAGAGTCAGAGGCGTGCAGCAATCTGGGGGATGTAGGCAGAGGCTTCTCGACCTATCACAGCCGAGGGTGAACCGCAAAACTTTCTGGGAAATGCAAAAGCAACAACCGCACAATGCGTAGCGTACATGGATCTAAAGATTGTTTTTCAATGCCGTGTCAGTGGTTATGCACGTCCGTGCGAGGCATAGCATGTGCGGTGGCAGAGGCAGTGGACACAGAGACCTGGTGCATGCGGCGAAAGCAAGAGATGAACTTTTTCCTCCGTGCGGCTCTCGGAGAGCGGCCGCACGGAGCCGTCATGGGGACACAAAACAGGAGATAAACCAGGACTAAACCAGGATTTCACCAGGACTAACTATGGGGGAGACTGCTTGTGAACATATTCCTCGAGCCTCATTCCCCGTGACTGTAAACAAGGCTGCCAACGTGTGTTAGCCGACACGACAAACGTATTTATTCAGGTAAAAATGCAAAATCTTTAATGCTTTGAAAATATTAGAAAAAATTGTATCGGATCGGTTTTGGCAAAACGATATTTAAGAATATCTGAATTGGATCGGATTACAAAAATCTGGATCGGTACATCCCTAGTGTAGTCTCTGCTCTCGTGAGATGGGAGCAAGCGTGCTTTGTGAAGGGCGCTCTGAAAGCAGCGAAGCAGCTTTAGAATTAAAACAGTGCAAATGAGCGCATCACTCATAGTCACTGTGTACTGGTCATAGACTGTAAGTAGACTGTAAGTACCTGTACGCCAAAAGTACGTTCTTGGCGCACGGAGAGGTGGCAGTACGCTCAAGAGCTAGTTTTGGAAGTGCGTACTGGCCCACTTAAAGCACTGATTGTTTGCTATTTTTAGAATAATCCATTTGTTTTGTTTTGTATGAATGCATGCGTTTCTTCTGCTGCTGGACACATGACTTTCTCCAAAGGGGTTATAAATAACAAAGTATCTATCTTGTAAATATAAATTCTGTGACCTTGAAAAAAAACCTTTTAGTTCAATTATTTCCAACTCCTGATTAAAAAAACCTTCCATAATCAGTTTTATGCCATTGAAATGAGAGCAGATGCTTTGATAAGAATCTGACCTCTTTGTGGAAACTTCAACATGTTTCCAAACTCTGTTGCAGAAACCATAGGACTGAAACACAAAGGTTCATTATTGATGTGATGTTTTACCCTAAAATCATGTGCCAGCATAATTACCAAATTACCCTCTACCGTTAGCTGAAATATAGTATTATTTGAAAATGTATATATTTATATTTAGGTAACTTTAGATTTGGATTACAATGTCCCAAACTTAACTTATGCTTAGTTTTCAGCTACAACAGTGATTTACCAAGTTAGCAATGTTTATACTGTTTCTAAAGTTCTAATTTGATTCAAATTAAAAACTTTTTTAGAATAAAATGTTTTGGACTGTTGAATCGCAGACATCTAGACATTACCTGGAATTGAACTAAGTTGTGTTTTTATCGCTGTAGCAGCAGTCGCAGTGAGTCTGATAGGAAAGTGAGTCTGATCCAATCACCAGTGAATAATGGATGATCCCAGGAACCTGCCCTGACCTGGTTTAAACAGATTCTTTCTTTATTTACAGACTGCATTGATTATCGAAGGCTCAGGTTCTCATTATTAAGTTACAAACAACAATGAGGCCATCTGAGCAGCAGGAGGCAGAGATGAGGTCTGTCATAGGAACAACAGTGACACAACAATGGCTTGTACAGACAGTTATTGGTAAACTTAATCAGATGTAAGAGAGCTCTCCTTCATTCACGTTTCAAGCTGAAATTAGTATCAATACTAGTTACTTACAGGAAATGGAAACAGGATAACCTTGGAAAGAGCTGTGAAGTGAACAGTGGCTCATGCATGTTTGAGTAATTTATATCCTGACTCCTCGTCCTCATGGCTGGCTCCTCTGACCACTGTGACGTGACGTTTGTAATTTGAGTCTTGGATGAAACAAATTGTTGTGCAGGTATTTTAGACGTGTATTAATGCTACTGTTTGCTCATAACGGCGGTTGATCAATGTTAATAAATGTTGTTTAATGTCCCGGATCAGCGCTGTCCTCAGACCCTCTGCATCAGCAAAGAACAGCTTTAAGAAAAACCAGTGAGAAACCCTGGAGACCCTCATTGAGAGATAGTTCTGCTCCCACTGATGGTCAGGCTGTAGACCCAGGACTGAGGCTGTCGTAGACGCAGGACTGAGGCTGTCGTAGACGCAGGACTGAGGCTGTCGTAGACGCGGGACTGAGGCTGTCGTAGACCCGGGACTGAGGCTGTCGTAGACCCGGGACTGAGGCTGTCGTAGACCCGGGACTGAGGCTGTCGTAGACCCGGGACTGAGGCTGTCGTAGACCCGGGACTGAGGCTGTCGTAGACCCGGGACTGAGGCTGTCGTAGACCCGGGACTGAGGCTGTCGTAGACCCGGGACTGAGGCTGTCGTAGACCCGGGACTGAGGCTGTCGTAGACCCGGGACTGAGGCTGTCGTAGACCCGGGACTGAGGCTGTCGTAGACCCGGGACTGAGGCTGTCGTAGACCCGGGACTGAGGCTGTCGTAGACCCGGGACTGAGGCCGTCGTAGACCCGGGACTGAGGCCGTCGTAGACCCGGGACTGAGGCCGTCGTAGACCCGGGACTGAGGCCGTCGTAGACCCGGGACTGAGGCCGTCGTAGACCCGGGACTGAGGCCGTCGTAGACCCGGGACTGAGGCCGTCGTAGACCCGGGACTGAGGCCGTCGTAGACCCGGGACTGAGGCCGTCGTAGACCCGGGACTGAGGCCGTCGTAGACCCGGGACTGAGGCCGTCGTAGACCCGGGACTGAGGCCGTCGTAGACCCGGGACTGAGGCCGTCGTAGACCCGGGACTGAGGCCGTCGTAGACCCGGGACTGAGGCCGTCGTAGACCCGGGACTGAGGCCGTCGTAGACCCGGGACTGAGGCCGTCGTAGACCCGGGACTGAGGCCGTCGTAGACCCGGGACTGAGGCCGTCGTAGACCCGGGACTGAGGCCGTCGTAGACCCGGGACTGAGGCCGTCGTAGACCCGGGACTGAGGCCGTCGTAGACCCGGGACTGAGGCCGTCGTAGACCCGGGACTGAGGCCGTCGTAGACCCGGGACTGAGGCCGTCGTAGACCCGGGACTGAGGCCGTCGTAGACCCGGGACTGAGGCCGTCGTAGACCCGGGACTGAGGCCGTCGTAGACCCGGGACTGAGGCCGTCGTAGACCCGGGACTGAGGCCGTCGTAGACCCGGGACTGAGGCCGTCGTAGACCCGGGACTGAGGCCGTCGTAGACCCGGGACTGAGGCCGTCGTAGACCCGGGACTGAGGCCGTCGTAGACCCGGGACTGAGGCCGTCGTAGACCCGGGACTGAGGCCGTCGTAGACCCGGGACTGAGGCCGTCGTAGACCCGGGACTGAGGCCGTCGTAGACCCGGGACTGAGGCCGTCGTAGACCCGGGACTGAGGCCGTCGTAGACCCGGGACTGAGGCCGTCGTAGACCCGGGACTGAGGCCGTCGTAGACCCGGGACTGAGGCTGTCGTAGACCCAGGACTGAGGCGTGGATAATGGTTTAGTTGTGGCAGCAGCAGGTTCAGTCCTAAATCCGGTGTGTTCTGACCCTCTCTCTTCTCTCTCTTCCTGGCGTCCTCAGGTGACCGGGGAGCCTCTGATTCGTCGCAGCGATGACAACGAGACGACGCTGCGCTCTCGTCTGGACGCGTACCACAGACAGACGGTTCCTCTGGTGGAGTATTACCGAGCGAGGGGCATTCACACCGCTGTGGACGCCGCGCAGAAGCCCAGCGTGGTGTTCGCCGCCATTGTTGCCGCCTTCACCGCCGCCTCGGACTCTCGCGCCGCTGCCTGTAAGGACCAAGTGTCCTTCGTTTGACTTTGTCTCTGTGTGTGTGTGTGTGTGTGTGTGTGTGTGTGTGTCTCTCTGTCTCTTCTGCTGATGGTCTGTGTGCCGAAACTATATTTGATACGGATCCAAATCAATAATAAAGCAGTTATCAAAGCAAGATCTTAATTCTTAATTCTTAAATCAAAGCAATAGTAAAAACTGGACAAGACTCTGAAAACGTTGACGTATTCTGAAGGGCATTTGTATGTGCTGGTTATAGATGACTGTCACATACATACAACACACAAGAAGGAAGTTACAGCAGTACACATGCAGTACTAGTTCCTCAAGGGGCCCTGTGGCCTCGGGTTTCTATTCCAACCAAGTAGGAGCACACCAAACTTTACCCATTTTGTCATGTCTTCAGGTTGAGACTGAATTGATGAAATGGGTGGAGTCTGGTGTGGTCCTGCTGGGTTGTATTTAAAACCTACACACAACCCATTAAGGATTTAGGGTTTTTAAAGCCCATTTTTCAGGCACTAAAGTGAGTACCAGTCTAAAGCGTTAAAACTGCTGACTCGGCTCTTTCTTAAAAGTCAAATTATTATTTTTTTTTTTGTTCAGCATTGCACTTTTAAAAGACATTCTGTTGGGACACACACAATGTATTCATCTGTGGTCTAAGATTGTAGATCAAGACTCCAAATGCGCTTAATGCACAGTAATGAGCCACAAGTTTCCGACCGAGGCACACGGCCGCTGCATTTTTTTTTTTTTTTGTCCAGTTCAATGAGTTCAGCTTTTTAGTGTATCCTTGACATAAAACATGAGTGGTGTGATTTGGAAGTGCGCCCTCCCCTCTCCTCTCTCCTAATAAAGCTATACAAACTGGCTAATTACTAACATATCCCCGGGACTCCTGTCTGCTCGGTCGTCCTACTCCTGTATTCCCCGAGTGCTCACTGCTGACTCCGAGTGAAAAAACGTCGTGTCCCTGAATACAAATGTGCCGCGTGTCTCCAGAGACCGAAGACGAGTCCAAACAGCAGCAGATGTTCAGCTGTCCCCACAACCAAACGTTCTGCAATTAATCCAACTCAATGAGGTGTTTACGTACAGCATTCCCGACAAAGATTAGTCCCATGAGACGACTTGATTCCATTGTTTTATGTCCTATGAAAGCGTTCTACTCTCACATGGCTGTCCCACTAATTGACGTTTTGTTATTAATCTTACAACACTGCAAAAATGATAAAATATGAGGTAATGATTGCTTGATTTGAGTGGTTTTTATCTTATTTTGGACACATTCTGACTGTTAAAACATGATTCTCCAACGGGACAGAACAATTTAGTCTCATTTCACAAACTGTTGCTTTATTTTCTCATTCCAATGGATACATTTCTCGTATCTTTTTAAAGCAAGATTATTTTGCGTTTTCCCATTGGCAAATCCAGTTCAAAGGCTCAGTCAGAATGTGCTCAAATTAAAACATATTTTGTTAAAACTTTGATTTATTTTTCATATTTTTTGCAGTGTAAATGAGGTGTTTACAGACTACAAGACTATTCCCATGAGACTATTTGATTTCATTGGTTCTTGTCTGTGTGCAGATGTTGAATAATAGCTTGGGTTGATCTAATATGAAAGCCTTCTTCTCTCAAGTGCACTCACTGTCACTGTGTTCTATTGTCAACTACGTAGACATTTACAAAGGAAGCGACCAAAATCAGAATAAATTATATAAATGAATCAATCCACACAAACTCTGCACTCTACTGCAAATCCTCAGACAGCCGTGTGTTCCTCCTGAATTTGTTTTTGAAATATTTCTGGTCTAATTCATTGAACGCAGTTGTAATGTTCTCAGATGTACTTTTCCCCTTCATTATGTTAATTTTATTGTATTAGTTTATTTGACTGGGACATTAATAAACATTTCTGTAAATCCAACTGAATTAGCCTTGCTGGCTCTTTTTCATCTGCAGTCCCTGGACAGATGCACATGGTCTCCCTAAAGATAATGGCAGTAAAAGTCATACCATAATAAAATGCAGAAAAACACAGAGTATGTGAGAAGAACACGTGCATCATACAATAAAAACATAGTTAACTTATGAGATATTTACAAATCAATTAGTAGATGGACCTAAAGTAATGCTTACACGTCAGCTGTTACTAACTATATGTGTGGCTGCAGATCTGGGTCTGATTTTATCTTTTTATTATTATTATTATTAGAAGGCATGTTATCCTTTGCACACAGAGGATCCCTGTGAGTCACTATTCAACACTTTGGCTGAGAGCTGATTGGCTGAGACAGGGCGGTCCTATCTGTTTCACTTTTCTGTCTGAAAAAGCTGATGTAAACATGTGACAGATATTGTAGACCCAGGAAGTAGTTGGATACGTTTTTTAAGTAATTCTTGTTCATTTATCACCAAAACTAGTTTAAAATGTAAAGGTTCATGGCAGAATCAAAACTCGCTTTGGCAAAGTATTAGTTCACCAAAATGATAATATACACGGCACACAAACTCCCACGGCTCTGAGACACTTGAGGAGAATGTATTTTTTTGCATTGTTTAATTTGTATCAAAATCAAATTGAAGTAAAATTAAAATTGGAAAGAAATGTTTGTTATTAGCATTATTTGTATCATAATGACTACAAGAATCTGATCAAGTTGTAAACCACTACTGAAATATGTTAATTATTGTCCTCTTTTTGTCTTTCAGCAAATTGAGTCCTGCCTCCTCCAGGGTTGGACCAGACCTCTTACCTGGAACCATACCTCGATCCAGACCTCAGACCAAACCAGACCAGACCAGACTTGCGGGACGGCGGGACCAGACACTGAATGAATCCTTGTAGTTTATGAATCTTAATTTACAGTGAGCCTCCCTAAATGTGATCATGTTTTCTCTTCACTGTCCCTCACACCAGCATCACTACAGTTTTCATAAAACTCTACCTTCAAATAAATATGCTTTTCTATAACTACTTAACTGTGTTTTTGTTTTTTGTTAAAGGTGAAGCCACAGTACCCAAAAACAAACTCAGATATTAGACTTTGACTCACTCTGGTGTAAATATATCTATGAGCAGGCTCGACTCTCCACATTCTTGGGTCATATTTCTGTTATGTAGAGTGTGTAAAGTAACTGTAGGTTTTGTCCCTTTGCCTTCCACAATATGGCTTTGAAAGAAAAGTACATAAACAAATCCCTGTGGAAGTAATATTAGAAGGAATAGGAAATGCATTTATTTCTACAGTGTCAAAATTGCCTCCTTATTTAAAAGATGATTTTATTGTGACTCATGATTCACACGTTTGACTGGACGTGTGAAGCCAGATCTGTGGAATGGGGAGCATGCTGGAAAGTGGTAATGTTATCCAAGAAGGAGTTTTTATTTACAAAATAGGCTGAGGTTAGAGAGACCAGAGAGAGAAACCACAGAGCGAGACCTCAGAGTGACCGACCAGAAAGAGAGCCAAGAGAGATGGAGATCAGTGAGACTACAGAGAGAGAAACCAGAGAGAGACCATAGAAACTACAGAAAAAGACTGTCGAGGGAGACCTCAGAGAGTCAAGAGAGATAGAGACCAGAGAGAGAGACAATAGATACAGTAGGAACCAGATAGACACCCCAGAAAAAGAGAAACCAGAGAGACCACAGAGAGATGAACCAAAGAGAGAGAGACCACAGAGAGATGAATCAAAGAGAGAGAGACCAGAGACTACAGAGAGAGAGAGAGAGAGAGAACCAGAGGGAGAGACCACAGAAAGACGAACCAGAGAGAGACCAGAAGGAGAGACCATAGAGATAGAGAGACCACAGATAGAAAGACCAGAGAGAAAGACCAGAGAGAGAGAGACCACAGAGAGAAGGACCAGAGAGAGAGAGAGACCACAGAGAGAAGGACCAGAGAGAGAGGGAGACCACAGAGAGAAAGACCAGAGAGAGAGAGAGAGACCACAGAGAGAAGGACCAGAGAGAGGGAGACCACAGAGAGAAGGACCAGATAGAGAGGGAGACCACAGAGAGAAGAACCAGAGAGAGAGACAGAGAGAAGGACCAGAGAGAGAGAGAGACCACAGAGAGAAGGACCAGAGAGAGAGACCACAGAGAGAAGGACCAGAGAGAGAGAGACCACAGAGAGAAGGACCAGAGAGAGAGGGAGACCACAGAGAGAAGGACCAGAGAGAGAGACTATGGAGAAACCAGAGAACACAGAAGAACCAGAGTTTCCAGATGAAATTGTCATGATCACAGAGAGACGAGACACAGAGAGATAGTGACAGAATGAATGATCTTTGGTGGATGTGGTTATTATGGTCCATGCAGTGTTAAAAAGTCCTTTCGAAGTGTTTTGGGACAGTCTTGACGGTCGCGCCTGTTGTTTTGAGTTCTAAACAGACATCTTATCATTGTGTATTTATTACGTGACGTCACGCGCCGGGGCTTTCCTCCATGACGTCAGAGGCAGCGGCAGAACGGCGAAACTCCATCACAACCAAACCACCGCCACCGAACCCAGGATTAAACCCAGTCCCGAGCCTCCCTCCGTGGCCGGGTCCCTCCTCTCCGCGTCCACCCCCCCACACCCCGTCCCCAGCGTCGTGACCGAGGGAAGGCGATTATTCAAGGCGAGGCTGGCTGCAGAAGACCCGGGGAGCAGCGAGGTGAGTGTGGCATGGTGTGGCCGGAGCATGGAGGCTGGATGCGGGCTCGGCTCAGCGCTCTCCTCCTCCCTCTTCTCTGGTGCAAACTAATCGTGTTAGAGTCTGTGGTTGTATGACTAGGACCTAATTCTATGTTTTCGCTTCTCAAACAGCCACAGATGAACCGCTGTCATGCTGTAATGTAGGTCTGAAGTGTCCATATGTGTGACGGTGTTTCTCATCATGTCCAGGCTAGGCAGGTCTTTTGTGAAGCACAGTAAAGGAATTGAAATCAGAAAGAATCACAGCGCATTAAAAAGAGTGAAGATACAATCCTTCAGTTTTATGCAACCTGGATTTGAATGTTGTCAGAGAAGAAGCTGGTCTCACATTTTCAGGAAGACTGTTCCAGGTTAGAGCTGCATGAATCGGAAGTGCTGCCTCACTGTGTTTAGTTCTGACTCTGGGCACCAGCAGGAGGCCAGTCCCTGTGCTCCTCAGAGTCCCAGCAGGAGGCCAGTCCCTGTGCTCCTCAGAGTCCCAGCAGGAGGCCAGTCCCTGTGCTCCTCAGAGTCCTAGTTGGTTCATAGGGCACTAACATGTCATGGAGAGCCTAGTATTTACCTTTATTTGAGTATAGATAATCTTATAAATCAGTAGTGTCTCCATCATAAGCACTTGTAAAGAATATCTCTATCAACTTCTTCTTCTTATAATAATGAAATATACATGTATTTTGTCCACAACGACATGTTTCTTTGCATTGGAACACAAAACAAAGGTTTTTGTTAATAGCCCCATTTCCACCAGTCCTACTTGGCCCTACTTGGCTCTGATCTACCTGGTTGTGTTTCCATTATGCTTTAGTATCTAGCACCGTATCCTACCACCCTATCCACAACAAATCAGCCTCTGCTTTGTGATCCTGGTCTGTGAAAGGCTCTATACAAACAAACTTTGCTTACTTACTTTCTTATAAAGTCTCTATCTTGAACATAATAATAATAATGAAGTATATTAAAAAAAGTAGCTTCTTTGCTCTAACCTGGTACAATGCATCTCTACCTTTGTGATAATGTTTAATTGTACACTGTCCCTGTTCAAATAAAGTACATCCTATACTCTCCCACACCAAAAGTCTGGTGTAAAAGCTTCAAATGGTGCCAGATAGTGCCAGATAGGCCCAGATAGGAACAGATGGGGCTGGTGGAAACTGCGTGACTGAAAGGGTTGCAACACTAAATCTAATCTGATGTTTTTTCTAGTACTAATAAAAACATGTTGTAGCTGTTTTCTATGACCTTTAGATCTCCATCCAACCTGTAGCTTGCCACCCTCTTCCAGGTAACTCCCGAGGATTTAGAAATAATAAACCATATCTTTTACTGAATATTTATCTGATAAGAAAGTAGTGCTCCAGGGGTGAAAGATTAGAGACCCCTGCTTTAGATGTTTAACGGAGATTTGGGGTTAATGTACGAGTTAAATGAATAAAACTTTCTATAATATTAGGACCAGGGCTGTAACGAGTTACTGAGAAAAAGTTGTCAACTACCGTGTTTTTCGGACTATAAACCGCAGCTTTTTTCCTGCATTTTGAAGGCTGCGGCTTATAGTCAGGCGCGGCTTTTTTATTTATTTTATTTTTTCTGTGTTGCCAAAAACATGAACAGCAGTAACAGTCGACCCACAGAATTGATGAGTCGTTCACAGAGGTCCAATTAAATGTAAGATTTGTCAAAAAGCAGAATTAATCATGTTTAAAAGTCCACATTTCTCATATCTTTGTGTAAATATTTCATGTAATAAAAAGATTTTGATCTTTGTACAGACGAGAAAGTGAAAAGAGACCAGTAGATGTTGCTCCTTATCGTTCTGCTTCACACCGAAGGGGTGGGACAGGTGCGTCTTATAATCCAGTTTATAGGCCGGAAAATACAGTATTTTAGTCATCTATGAATTACTCAAACCTTGAGCAGAGGTTTTATGACTCAGATAAATGACTGCAGAAAGAAATGAAAACATATTTACAAAGTATTTTTATTGAAACAACCCGATTTAAAACATGTCTCTATGAACATGTTCTCCACTTGTTTATTTATTTGCTTCTCATCTCAGAACTGTTCCAATAATTGAAAGAATAATCAACTCATGGGTTATCAAATGGCGAGCAATCACAGCAAGAAGGTCCTGGGTTCGATTCCACCTCCAGACCTTTCTGTGTGGAGTTTGCATGTTCTCCCTACATCTGCATAGGTTTCCTCCCGGTGCTCCGGTTTGCCCTACCACTAAAAACATGTACAATAGGTTTGGCCTTCTGTACGGTGAGACTCTGGTCTGTGAAAGGTGCTATAGAAGTATCAGATTACTTAATGATGAGGTGTTAGTTACAGGTGGTTGTGGTTGTGAGTGAGTAATATCCTGGTCGTGATAAAGGCCCTTCTCCTCTGGGACGTGGTGTTCCCGTCTCTCCCCACGGAGCTCATGCTTCGGGACGCTCTGTGTTTTCATGTAAAGATGGTAAATCCCAGGGCTCAGCTGTAGTGTTGTGTTACCAGTGTTGAAGTTCAGCTCAATTCAGTTTATGTTTCCCCGAAATCACAACAGCAGGCGTCTCGTAGGACTTGTGAGAATTGAACGGATCAGAGAAAAGCAGTAATAACAAACACATAGAAGCCATTTGTCTATAAAGAACGGGATGACCACTGTCCAGAAATGTCCTGTAGACCCAGGACTGAGGCTGTAGATCCAGGACTGAGGCTGTAGACCCAGGACTGAGGCTGTAGATCCAGGACTGAGGCTGTAGACCCAGGACTGAGGCTGTAGATCCAGGACTGAGGCTGTAGACCCAGGACTGAGGCCGTAGACCCAGGACTGAGGCCATAGACCCAGGACTGAAGCTGTAGACCCAGGACTCCAGGACTTTGTGTGTAATGAGTCTGTCATACATTACTTTAACATTATAAGTTGAATCACAGAAGTAAATTAAGTTATGATTGATATATTCATTTCTTGAGTTTCAGCCCAAAAAAACCTTTCTCTCAAATTACAAAATCGCCAATTTACCAACAGCAGATTAGACAAAAACAGTTAGAAGACATAAGAAATATATGAGTTCTTAGACCCTCCTGCGTACAGTAGTATGATAGTATTTAGTTGCAACTTTTGTGAATGAATCTCAAAATCACTGATAACAAATCATGAATAATAATAACTGCTGTGAGGGCTCGAGGATTATGAATTACTCACTCTTTCTTCCTCAATCACAGACGACCGATTATGTAACGTTTGTCATCCCCACATGTAATCTTTCTGTGTCTGTGTCACCTCTGAGCACAACGATCTTTTCTCAAAACATATGACAGTTGTTTGTTGACTCCTCAAACACAACGATCCATAAAAGTGACACTGGTTATGACCGAACTCACCCTGGATAAACGAACAAACTGGAGAACGCGGAAATGCTTTGTTTAGTTTACAGTGTGTACAGTTACAGGTGACATCATTACCTGGAAGGAGGCACTGGTTTTTATTAGACGTTTGAGAAAAGCCGAGGATGTGTTTGCTTTGTTCCAATCTGTTGTTTTAACTTACGATCATCAGAAACCTTTGAAATCCTCACAGACACACATAGAAGCCGATTTCGCTTTAACCACATGTGTCAAACCCAAGGCCCACAGGCTAAAAGCGGCCCACCAGACTATTTTAGTAGCCCGTAAATGATGTGTAATTATCAATCAACCTGTATTTGTATAGTGCTTCTCACAGGCCGCACACTGGGCATGGAAAACAACCATGAAGATCACATGGTATATTAAAAACAACAATTAAAACCACAATGGTCATTAAAATTAACAAAAAGATGTATGGCCAGCCAAACAGAACGGTAAATTACTATTATTACTATTTGATAAAATTCTATTAAACTTTATTACAGACTCTAGGTCCAATTTAAAACATACAAGACAAAAAATAACAAACAAACAGTTATGACATTAAAAGAGACAGCCAGTGTCTCTGAACCCCATGTTTGTCAGCCCTAATATTTCATTTTCTGACTTGCTCAGTCGACGGATGAACTAGTCGGCCATGGCATGTTAGACCTCATTCTAAAGCTGATGTCCCCAAGAAAACAACCACTATTAAACTTATATCATTCTAAAATCTGAGCCCAACATGTTCTTATAGACAGTTAAAGGATCAGTATGTAAAAATCTGGCCAAAAGTGGCACTGCAGCCTCTCCCACTCTCCCTGACTCAGGTTGCCAGATATGCAGACGAATCCAGCTGGGACCATAATATCTGATATTGTCAACAACAAATCTATAACCAACACCTTCTTCGCAAAGATAGAAATCCAGTTTTTTTTTCCTTATTTTGTTATTAATAATTTGAGAATCATAACAAGATCTTTTATTTTAGTTCTGCGCCACATGGTACTTTACCAGGGAGATTAGCTCGACACGGTGAGTTCTGGCGCCCGGATCACAGACTTCCAAATGAAAACAATAACAAGATTTAGGGGCTGTGAATGTAATTTTGAAATTCCAATATCTCTGAAATACTGTTATCAGTTAAAGAAGTATTGGAAAGACCATGGTTTATTAATGCCTTTTGACAGATTAGGGCCCTTTAATGATGACTTGACATGAAAATCTTACATTTTGCTACTTTAATTTAAAAAATATGAATAATTTATTTAAAAATTGCCATTCACAAACTAGAGTCACGAAGCCCTTTTTGCCTTTTGTCCTGGACTCCCTTGAAAAGAAGGTTTTTAATCTCAATGGGACTTTCCTGGTTAAATAGAGGTTAAATAATTGTGCACAGATGAGCTTCAAACACTTTTATACTTTTGGCCTCTTTTTCTACATCCGTCCCCAAACCAATATGAGTTTGAGACCCATCGGTGTCTTCTGTGTCGTTGAAAGTGTGTGGTTGGTTTGTCCCAGAGTATGAGAGGCCTGGTGTAACAGTCTGTCACCGGGGCCAGAGTCACGTGAGGCTCGTCTTACACATGATGAGATGGTTTTACAGTAGATTTAACTCTGACCCACTGTTCTCTTTACTCTGAAACATCACACCCTTTGTCCTCTTCACGGGACTGTTTTAGTCTCATGCACTAAAAGCCTGTGTGTTTCCGGCTGTCACTGTGTGGTTGGCGTTTGCGCTGGACCCGTGGTTGATTACGTAACCACAGTTGTTCATACACTTTTAAGAGATTGCTGTATTCCCACGTCACAAC